ACCTGGATGTGTTCCTGTGTCCCCTGCTCAAGGTGACTATGCCTTGGCAACAGGGATGATCTCCAGAGGTGCCTTCCAACCCCAACAATTCAATGATTCAGTGATTGTGTGGAGCTGCTTAAACGCTCTAATTAGATCCACCAGTATCACACCATGATGCAGAGAGGCCTCCTACAACTTAAAGCCTGCCAGCCTGGATCCTGGGAGCGGGATGGATCTGTTGGAATACAGAGCTCCACATGGATGAATTCTCCCTCCCCAGTGCCTGGGCACAGCAGCTGTCACACATCTTGGCAGTACAAGGTACCTCAGGGGCTCCCCATTCCAATTTGCTGGCTTGTATAGCACAAAGAATCTACTCCTTAGGAGACTTTACATCAAGGGAAAGAGAAAAAAAAAAAACATCAGCAAAGAAACTCAAGTTCACCCTGGACTCTGAAAAGTCCTCCAGTGTGTCAGACATTCTGAACCTGGAGAGTACAGAGGCTCTTTGATGAAAATTCAGGCAGTTACATGCAAAGAAAAATGGTGTTTCCCAAAAGAGCCAACACAAAAGATGTATTAAGTGATAATTTCATTCTCAAATGGTTTTCAAGCAACAACTGGTAGCACTTAAATCAACATTTTGCACATGATTAAATCCTAAGGACAACTAATTATTTCTGGCATTTCTTTAAAACTTCTCTATCAGCCAAGCTGATGTTGGAAAGCTTCTGCTGTGCTTTCACTGCAGTTAGCTTTCAAAATACTTCTTCAATGAAATCATCACGCTGCTCATGGCAAGAGAAATTTATCTGTGGCCTGAATAAGACTCTGTGTTCCACTTCAGCCTGCCTGAAAAGATGGATTACCTACAGTAAATGTCATTATTCCAAGCTACCTTTTTGTAGTCCCACCCCTGGGCACAGCAAAGCCCGGTGGGTGAGTGTATTCCAAGACCACTGGGAAATCCATGGATTTATAAATGTTGTTTAAACAATACCCAGAGCCTCATGAGAGCATTTCCACAGAGTGAATTTCTCCCTAAATGCATGACATGAATTGCACTCATTGTGGTAGAACTGCTCATGCCTAATTTGATGGAATACATAAAGAACAATAAACAGCAAAGTACCAGTGTGGCATATGCAACCTTCAGATTTATACTACAGGGTGAATCTTTTTTCTGACCCAGGAGCAATAAATAGCAACAAACAGGACTGAAAAATTGACTGTAGTGTAGCACAAAAGGTCTCAATAGATTTATGTTCCTGGAAGGAACAGAATTAATGTACTTAGAGAAACTCAATTTGATACCACCTGTGACAACCCGTATTATATATGCAACAACAGCCAGGTAAACGACAGCTTTAATTTAAACTTTTCTTGCTTTATTTAATTTAAGGTAAGCCCCCAGACTGTATTTTGTGGTGCTGGGCTGCAGGGGTTATCTTGAAAAATACTGTTATTGTTAAAGAAAAATTGGTAGCTAATCTCTGTGCAGCACACTGAAAATAACTCTTTAATTTCATTCTAATGGCATTTTTCTGGTATTCACAGGAATGCCAGCTCTGAGACTGTTAACTTTTGGAATTTAATGTAGGGCAATTACAGCCAAAGTATGTCTGGGGAAAGTCCTAGCAGAGGGGGCACATTCCTTCTCTGAGTGGGTGCTTTACAGGGGATGTCTGAGGGGTTCAATATGCTCCCAAAATTTTATACCCTCCTCCAAAGCACAGAATATATGGCCAGGAAGCTCTGACACAGGGAGAGCTGAACAGCAAAAAACTGCAGTATGTTAACTTCTCCCTGGCCACCACTTTGTGGGATCTCATTCCCTGCTTTGCATCCTGAATTACTCAGATCCAGGTGCCCAGTGAGAGGACAGAGGATACCCTGGAGGTCCTCAGGGCAGCACTTGCACAACTCTGCAATGTGGGGTTGTATTTTATTCTCCTCTGGGAAAACCCAGATTTTAGAATGGGTCTAAACAGAGCAGGTACAGTTTTACTCAAAAATGAAATGCAGCTCCGAGCACTCCAGGAACTGCTTGTGGTAATACTGAACATACAAAGCATTTTAAGAAGGGAGGAAATATTATCATTTAATAATGTCATTTAAGGAAACAAGTTTCTGAATTGCAAAAGAAGAGACTGGGGAAGGCTTCTGCAGAAAAGAAAATGCAAAGTAATTAAGAAAGGCAGGGTAACACAATCTGATAAACAATTTGTTTTCCCTAAAATTGGCAGGAATACCCCATTTCAATTCCCAGAGTGTAATAACACGACATATTACATACATGTATGTGAGATTTAGAAATGCCACAACATATTTATTTTTGTTGATTGGCAGCATTAGTTCTCTGTTAAAAAAGTGTAGTATTAAGATCTATTTTTTCAGGCCTGAGTAAGGAGCCCCTATAAAATAAAACTTCTCTGATGAAATAAACAGTATTTTTTTAATGACAATAATTTTTAAACTATTTTTGTGTATAGTATGAGCATGCAATATTTTTTGCCCTTCTGCTAATATTTTTTTTTGTAGCTTGTGATTTGTTGTTGTTGTTGTTGTTGTTTCTCCTTTTTCAGCTAGTCATGCCTTAGGTAATGTATTGAAGCCCTATACAATAAAACTTCTCTGAAATAAACAGTGTTTTTAAATTTTTTAAATTATTTTTGTGTATAGTATGAGCGTGCAATATTTTTTTGTCCTTCTGCTAATTTTTTTTTTTTCTTGTGTTTTTTTTTTTTTCTCCTTTTTCAGCTAGTCATGCCTTAGGTAATGTATTGAAGTATAAATTTTCCTTGCTGTCTCCATCTAGGAACTTTGCACTGATCTTTCAACAGGGAAGGCTGTAAAAACCCTCAAGATTAATAAACAAACTCCTTCCACTGTGCCAGGCTCCTCCAGCCTCAGTGTCCAACCTGGCCTTGGGCACTGCCAGGGATCCAGGGGCAGCCACAGCTGCTCTGGGCACCCTGTGCCAGGGCCTGCCCACCCTGCCAGGGAACAATTCCTCATTCCCAAGATCCCATCCAGCCCTGATCTCTGGCACTGGGAGCCATTCCCTGTGTCCTGGCACTCCAGTTCCTGATGAAGGGTCCCTCCCCACAAGCACAAGCATTTCATGGGGATAGTGCAGACAGCTCTGAAGGAAATGCAGGCACCTCTATCCAGAAAAGGGAATTTTGGCACCTGAAAGTGCAGCCACCTCCTGGTATTGACTGTGCAGGGAGCCACAGCATCACCCGGAGTGCTTCAGTGCGTGCACATACTAATAGAAAATAGCAAAAACTAGGAGAAAATATAGAATCATGGAATATCTTGAGTTGGAAGGGATCCACAGGGATCACCCAGTCCCACTCCTGGCCCTGCTCAGAGCTCCCAAAATCCCATCCTGGGCATCCCTGGCAGCGCTGGCCAAAGGCTCCTGGAGCTCTGGCAGCCTCGGGGCCGTGTCCATTCCCTGGGGAGCCTGGGCAGTGCCAGCACCCTCAGGGGTGAACCTTTCCCTAAAATCCAACCTAAACCTCTCAGCAATAACTAACTCTGATTATCTTCTCTAGTGCACTGTAAGGAATTTACTGAGGGAAATTGTGATCAGTTCTCTTACAGAAATGCCAGCACAAATAGTTTCAGAGGCAATTTTAGGAAGTAGGTAAGACTGATTTTGAATCAATACACCATTTATGATTATATCTGTGCATTTGCTTAGCACACTGGAATAGATTAAAGACACCTGAACTTCTGAATAAGCAGCCTTACAAGAAAACTTCCTCTAATTCTTGGTAACTTCAGCTCACCATTTACTTCTACATATCTCAAATCTTTGACTGCTCACTGGAAATCCTGATTTGACTTCAGCACAATTTCCATCCTCACCACAGAACAGAGGGAGTGTGATAAGCTGGCAGACCACTTTGCCCTGCTTGTGGTGCTCATCACATCAGCCCAGCAAGTGTGAACAGCAACCACAGAGCCCAGGGCTGAGGTTTTCCTGAACAACTGACCCTAGATTAAAACACAGGTGGTTGTGACAGGGAGATGTGAAGCACAGGCTCCACTGGTACATCACCAACAATTGTCAGCAACTGACTCTTCTGGACCTTTGCCCTTCAGCAACACCAAAGAAAATTGTTTTGACAGTCAGGCATTTTAAACAGGAAAGCACTTGTTTGGATAGCTTCCTTAAAAAAAAAAAAAACTTCATTGTGTTTTTTCAGATGTCCCACAGGGTGCTCATAAGCTTGGAAAAGCCACCAGTCAATATCCAAAAATCCACTGCAATATCTTTGCAGCCTAATTGATACAAGTCTGCTTTACAGTGACATTCCCCAAAAAATGTCCTGAGACAACAGTCAATACACAGACACTCTGTGGCTACTGCCTGTTGAGTTATTTATTTTTCTGTTCCTTTCTACTCCCCTGCCTGCCTCCATATTTATGTTGTTTTTTCAGCATGAGTTCTTAAATCCAGCTCCACTTTTTGGCATTATGTTTACAGTAATTACAAAAGGAAAGATCAATAGCTCAATCCCTCTGCCATGACAAGATTTTACTTCCAGTGTTTCCTTGTTTGGTTATCTTTGGAGCAAAGACAACTGCCCAAATTGCTGGATTTGTCAACTTCCATGGAGTGTTAGGTCACACACACCACGCCCTTTGATGGATCAATGGTGGTGCTCCAGGCTACAGCAAATCCCCGTTTTATTAACTTTAATATGTGCTCTTCCACCTGGTGTGCAAAGCAAATTCACATCCAAAAATTATCTGCAGTCAGAGGAAAGCTATTGCAGAAGCTCACGAGAAGTCTGTGCCTGTAGCACCATTTTAGACCCTCGCTAACACCTGAACACAGCTGGCAGGTCAAGGTAGGGCAACCCAGAGCCTCCAGGGATGGCAGCAGTGCCCAGATGGGATATCCTGAGACACCTAAAATGGAGCTAGATACACAGATTTAGACAACTGAGCCACACCCATCACAAAAATCCCTGTTCTTGATCCACCCCCAGCCTCATTACCTTGACCCGTTAACCTGGTTGGGGTTACACTCCATCTTGATGGTGACTCTGGCCGGGGGCTGTGACAACCAGTCCTGCTGGGGGACACGGGGGCTCATCTTGGAGGTCTGCCCATATTCACTGGAGGAGGAGGCCGTCATCTCTGTCTTGGCGAGGTGGGGTGATCCGTAGGCACACTCGAACAGGGACTGGTCTTCGCTCACCACCGATAACGCTTCCTGCAAACCAGAGAAATGTCAGGGCAGCCACGGCTCAGGGCACACATCACAGAGCTCCCCAGGGAAAAAAAAGGGCTTGTCCATCTCACAGGGAGGTGAACAGCCTCATGCATCAAGGAAAAATTAGGCTGGATGTCAGGAAAAAGTTTTTTATAGAAAGAGTGGTAAAGTGGCAGGTGGTGGAGTCACCACCCCTGGGTGTGTTTAACAAAGCCTGGATGTGGCACTGGGGGCCAGGGTTTAGTTGAGCTGTTGGGGCTGGGCTGGACTCAATGATCTTAAAGGTCTCTTCCAGCCTAATGATTCTGTTCTGTTCTATTAGTTTTTAGGCACATCACTGTTGCCACTGAAGGTGAGGGACAGATGTTGCCAGCAAATGACAGGAGGACAGAGGAACGTCTCCCTGGGAGACCCTCCCAGAGCAGCTGAGCAGAAACACGAACTACCAAACATTAGGAATAGAGGAGAGGGCAGGGTGGGCAGCACAGCCCAGGTCTGTGGGGTCTCAGTAGAGATGCAGAGGATGAGATCTGCTGAATGCAGCAAAAATTGAGAGAAGAGACCGAAAGCCAGCCCCTGCTGACCCGCTGTGATCCTCCTTTCCTTCCCCAGGCACCCAGCCAAGTCCCTTCTGGACCAGGAGCCAAGAAATCTGGGCACAACCTCTAGTCCAGGGACATCATGCCCACCAGCCACTTCCCTCCCTCTCATGGCAACTCTTCCTGGTGGAAACCCCACTCTGGAGCTGTGGGAAGGGCTTCCCACCCTCTTCATGGCAGCACTGGGGTTATGGTTGAGGGCAGCAGGGCCCATCAGGTCTCTCAGTGCCATCATGTCTGGCTGGAGGCCAGACAGACACCACAGGGAGGGACAGTGACCCTCTATCCTCACTGCCAAGCATTCCTGCTGGTGCAAATTCCTTCCCTGAGCTTTCTGGAGTTGAGTCTTGCGAGTGAGGCAGTGCCTGTAGCCACCACATCCATCAGGAAGTGTGGGAAGGGCTGAAACTCCTGAAGGGACACATCCCACCTGAGATGAGGCTCCCCAGCCATGAGAGCAGGTCTAGGCTGCCACACTCCTGCCTTCCTCCAGCAGTGCACAGGCTCAGGGCACCCTCCAAAACCAGAATACTGAGGAAATCCACCTTCTCCAGGGGTCACTTTGGGTGGACAATGTGCATAAGGGTGCAAATTCAAGCACTGGAAGGGGCTGCCCAGGGAGGTGATGGAGTCCCCATCTCTGGAGGTGTCCAAGGAGCACCTGGGTGTGGCACTCAGTGACAAGGTGGGCACTGGGCACATCTTGGGCTCGATGGGCTGGGAGGGCTTTTCCAGCCTCAGTGGCTCTGTGAAAGGACAGCAGCCCACTGTGTGACTCCATCCTGCCAAGCTGGCCCTGTGGCACGGAATGGAGCAGGAGTGCAGCCCAGCACCTCCTCCCTGCCACTGTGGGGACAATCCCCAGCCCTGGGGCGGCCAGGAGGCTCCGTGTGATCCCAGGGGCTGATGGAAGCTGAGGGGGAGGCTGGGCCAGCTGGCCATGGCTGTGAGTGTGGGGGCCAAGGATCAGGGAGTGGGGGAATCCTGAGCCAGACTCGGGGCAGGGAGCTCAGCATGGGTGGGCTGTGCTCCTGCCAGATCTGCTGCTGACGGCCAGAAATGCATGGTCCTGTCGGCAGAGGAGAAGGGAAGGAGAAAAGGAATGGGAGTTCCCCAGCTTTGGGAGGGTGGGTGGTTGTCTGCAGGCTCCCACCCTCCCTGGCTGCTGGAAGCGGGCTCTGCTGAGCTCCAGCAGTCACATACGACCCTAAAAATCAGTGTTTGCTCATTTGAAGACCCATGGTGTGAGCCTTGTAGATGTTCTGTGCAGGGGGAAGAGCTGGATTTCATCCTTGTGGGATTCTATTCTGTGATTCTACATTCCTCCTTTTTGTCCACCTGGTTTGTGAGCCCTCGGGGGGCACTCTGCTGATATTCATAGTTTGCTCTGCAGTTGCAAAGGTGAGGACATCACTTCCAGCTTCTTACTGCCTGTAAAAACTGAGATCACCACTCAATCCCAGGGCTTGGGGAGTGGGATCTCAGGCCCTTCAAGCGTCCTGAGACTCATGACTGAATTATTAACAATAACAAAGAGTTCAGGCAGTGATCTGCCCCTTTTTACTGCTGATTTTCAGATGTCACCTGGGTGCAAAGATCACCACCAGTGATTTTCAGATGTCACCTGGGTGCAAAGGCTGCCACCAGTGACTTCTCAGTTACCTTCCTTCTTCCCACCAACCTGCAACCAGCTACCTCTGCCTTTTTGGTTTTGTGAGACAAAAAAGATGCCAGAACAACACCTCCCCTTTTTGTCATGCCTCTCATGCCAGAAAACCTTTGCTGTTGGTGGCCTGAAGCTTTTCTAAAGAGCCTTTTCTGAGAAAACCTGCATACCAAGGAGGTGTGAGGGGAGATGGCCACTGGTCCCTTGCTCCCCAAGGATTCTTCCCTGGCTCCACTGAGAGACAGCAGGGAATCTGATGTGCTTGGATAATAAAGTAGCAGGGATGACGTAACAAGAACTAAAGGAAGAAGATGTTACACTGGAAGGAAAATAAAGAGTTCTTTCTCAGCAGTCCATGAGATTTTTTCATGAAATAACTCCCCAAAATTAAATATATATGTGTGCACAAACACAGCCTGGCCAGATGATCACAGTGCATCCCATGCCTGACACTACTGAATGCACAGTTCCCTCTTTTCTGCCCCAATCCATGAGATGAAAAACACAAAACAAAATGTTAATTTTGAAAGAGTTAGCTCCAGTAAATACACTACCAAAGTATGAATTATACAGCAGAAAACTGATGCAGACTGCAAATAAAACATTATTTAACTCTGTAAACAATTTACTAATGGACCTTTTCAAAACAGGCATCGAGCACTAAACAATGGATTTATTTCTCATCCTCCTCCACAAAAGTGACACAAAGCAAATTTTTCTAGTTCCTATTAAAAATTACTCCACCTAATGTAAGTTAATTTGTGGATATTTAGAGTAAGTATAAATGTAAATAACAACAAGAAAAAAAGGGTTTTCTATTTATTTGCATTACTAATGACAACAAACACTACTTGTACTATGGGTGTCCATTATGTTGCATGAAGAGGAAGAGTGCAAACATTTAAACTTCCTGATGAGTACTGTAAATGCTGGAAATACAAACCAAATTACCTAGGGCTGTGTGAATATCCACAACTACGAATACAAAACAAGACAAACATAAATGAGCCCAAGAGACAGACTTAAACTTCATGTTTCAGAGGAAAATTCATGGAGAAAGCAGGCTGAGCCTGAGTTTAGCTGTGGTTTAACAGCACTCATCTGCACTCCATCCTGCTGGTTATCAGTTAGTGCTGGCTGACAGGTCTGGGAAGGCTCTGCAGGAATCACTGAGCTCCTGCCAGCTTTGTGTGCTGTGGGTCAGGCTCTGTGTGGAGGTTCATTAATGTGTGCTCCACAACATCCTCTGGCATTCACCCTCCCTGGTCTTGGTGGCCTGTCTGGAAGGACAGCAGGACATGGATCTCCCCTCCCTGGGTGACAAAAGCTGCCCTGGCCATCGAAGCTTTTGCAAGATGTTGAGGAGTCAGCACAGCTAAAGAACGTGGCCCATGCTGGAATCAGCCTCAGCCTGCTCTTTGTCTCAATGATCTTAAATCAGAGAATCAAATAATGGTTTGGGTAGGAAGGGATCACTTCATTCCACCCCCCTGCCATGGCAGGGACACCTTCCACTGTGCCAGGCTGCTCCAGCCCCAGTGTCCAACCTGGCCTTGGGCACTGCCAGGGATCCAGGGGCAGCCACAGCTGCTCTGGGAATTCCATCCCAGTCCCTGCCCACCCTGCCAGGGAACAATTCCTCATTGCCAAGATCCCATCCTGCCCTGCCCTCTGGCAGTGGGAGCCATTCCCTGGGTCCTGTCCCTCCATGCCTTGTCCCCAGTCCCTCTCCAGGTTTCCTGGAGTCCCTTTAGGCCCTGGAAGGGGCTCTGAGCTCTCTATGGAGCCTTTTCTTCTCGACGTGAACACTCCCAGCTCTCCCAGCCTGGCTCCAGAGGGGCTCCAGCCCTGGGATCAACTTAGGCCACTTAAAAGGTGCGGATTTGTGGCCCAGGCTTTTCTGAATAATCCACTGGCCCTGCAAGACCCAGGGATGCTGAAAAACCAGAAGCCAACCTGGCAGAACCACCCCTGAGTCTCATCCTGGGGAAAAGCATGGAAACAGCAGCCAACAATAGGAAGCATTTCTCAGTTTTCAGGAATTTCTGATGATGGGCATAACCTGGTGTCCCCAAGCTGTGAGCTCTGAAAGGAAGGCTCCAACAGCAAGCTGCTGTCCTGGAACAGCTGACAGAAAGCAGTGTGGGTTCTTTCTTTCCTAAATACAGGGACTTCAAAATCTGTTTTGTGTTATAATTGCAAATGCAAGCTCCTGGACCAAATCTAATAAAAAAATTGTCAGAACTCACCATCATGAAAAAATAGCGGCGTGGTCTGGCCACGTAGAAATGTAAACAAAGCTATTAGTACTGACAATGTTTGGCAAGGTTTTATTACATATGGATGCCAGTTCTATTCCTAGTAAATGCTTTTCATTACTCATTTACATGTTAATCTCTTTTTCTCATCCATATTAATGCTGTCTCTGTAGCAGTTTGGCAACATCAAGCCATAAGTGGGATTAAGAAATGTAAACATTAATAATTATTACAAAATAGATGCATTACAGGCTTCTTTCAGTTTTGCAAAGGTTTGTAACTTTTTGACAATAATTTTAGCAGTGAATGGGTCATCTTCCTGAATTTCACATGATGCAACATATTCTCATGACATTTCAGAAATGAAGCCTTTAATTTCTAGTAATTAATGTCTGGAGTAAAGGGATATGAAGAAAATAACACATGGAGCTTAAAGGAGAAGGTGGGAAGGGTCTTTCATGCAAGTCTGTGAAGCAG